GAAATAAGATGCTACACAAACAGTCCCTAACTTATTACCTTGTTGAATTTAGATACAAGAACATTTCTGTTGATATTTGCTTCCTACCAGTGATGTAGACCAGAGCATCCCAAGGGATGGTGCCATCTTTGCAGTACAAGTTGAGGTTGAGCAGAGCACATTCTCTCTCACTGTCATTGAATTCGTAGCGGATGTTCCAGCCCAGGGGACCAAACTTCTTCCGCTCCTAAACACGAGACACACAGGCAGAGAAGTACTGTACGACCACACACAAAGTAAAACACATCCAAGAAAACAAAGTAATAATGATGAGGCACTTTACATGTAAAATACTGAGAAAGAGTGTATGTAACCTGGATGATTGCATGGAAAAAGCAGATTCCAAAGACAATCTTCCTCCACTGGCGTCCCAAAATGTGGCGTTCAAAGAAACTGCTGGTGATCTCTGTGAAGGCTCGTCGCATGTTGGCTCGCAGGCCTTTAGGAGGCTCGTTAGTCACCTGGCAATGACATCACAGAGACCTACTGAGAAGACTACCAGCAATCCTGACAACCTTTTGGTTTAGCATCTCCTCCTTGTTGTTCAGGCTGTCTTCAAGTGCACATACAATCCCAACGACTCTTCAAGGTAACCAGTGTACCGTGTGACTCACTCTTCAAATGATCAGGTCATGGTCATGATGACGATAAATCAAGTGCTGGTAGTTAATGTACGTTTAATTGACATCAAAGATTTCGACCCATATTTATGAAGGCAGTGCTTAACTAACGTTTATGCCACAGATACCCTAAATAAACAGTACTGGTAATTACCAAAGTCATTTTTATGTTTCACTCATGTTCAATCCACCAGTATAGACAAGTTCTTTTTAAAAAACAGTATTTTTAATCATCTATAGCTTTATTATACAGTATTACAGTGTTTGGGTCTCTGTGTGACTACCTTAACGGAGTTCTGGAGCACTGTAACAGGAAATACTTTGGTCGGCATGGAACTGAGAAACAAACGGAAGTTCTCATGGACTGATGTGTCTGCAGAGAAACAGATAAGAAAATTATTTGCATATTCATAAAAAAGAAAAGGCCTTAAAAAGGTCCTGCAGTATTTTTTATCAATAATACAAACACTTTGAAAAACCAAAGCATACAATATCACAGTTTACTCATTTCTGTTTCTCAGAGATTAGAAATGCACGTGTAAATTACAAATGATGTCTAATGACATTAGAAATATGAAGGAACTTGTTTAGATGTGTCCCTGAGCATTGCTGCTAACAATGTTCATCCCTTTATGACCACAGCGTGCCCATTATCTAGTGGCTATAATGTGATCAACAAATCTGCAACAACTGTGTGACACTGTCATGTTAATGTGGACCAAAACCTCTGAGGAATGCTTTAAGCATTGTTGAGTCTGCACAATGAAGAACTAAAGTACGTTTTCTTGAAGGTCAAATGGGTTCCAACTGAGTACTAACAAAGTGTAACTAAACTGAAACTAAACTGCAGCCCAGCATCTCTTTCTTGGGTATCCCCATCCATAAACACTAAAATTACCACCACTGGGATTTCCCAGTTTGAAGCAAATGTTGTAATTATTCTAATTTAATACTATTTTTTTTCATACAACCCTCATAAGCCTTAACTAATAAAAAATATGTCACAAATGTTAGGACAGAAGGCTGAAATAAACAGAAACTTTTGAGCTCAATTTAAAAATAGTACCAGACTCAGTGAAAGTCTTAATGAGCTCCTCCATGGCTAACATCCAAGACACCGCCAGATGGCAGTTCTGCAAGAAGACCCAGTTGCCACTCGTTAGCGCTGAATGGATCATCTTCTCCGCTATAGGTCCCTGGCCTTGCCCCAGTGAGATAGCCTCGACCCTGAAAAACACAGAAAAATCACCATTTTGATGCCTTTATAAACTTTATTCATTCATTTGGGGCGACCATGGCTCAGGGAGTTGGGAAGCGTATCTGTAACCGGAAGGTCGCCGGTTCAATCCCCGGGCTCTCTGTCCTGGTCGTTGTGTCCTTGGGCAAGACACTTTGCCAGAGGGGCCGATGGCGCGATATGGCAGCCTCGCTTCTGTCAGTCTGTCCCAGGGCAGCTGTGGCTACAACTGTAGCTGCCTCCACCAGTGTGTGAATGTGAGAGTGAATGAATAGTGGTACTGTAAAGCGCTTTGGGTGCCTTGAAAAGCGCTATATAAATCCAATCCATTATTATTATTTGCAACAACCTGTCTAGTCCAGGATCACAGGGACAACAGTTTAGACAGAGGTGCCCAGACCTCCCTCTTCCCAGCCACTACCCCAATACTTCCAAGCAGATATCGAAGTGAAATACTGGTTTGGGAACATGTCTTCTGGATATGACCCAGCATGACCTTTGGACATGCCCTTCGTGTAAGAGGTGTCCAGAAGGCCTCCTGGACGTGGATGAGTAGTGGCTCTACTCTGAGCCCCTCCCAAACTCCTCATCCTATGTCTGAGACTGAGCTTAGACACCCTTTATAAGACAGCTCATTTCCACTGCTTGTATCTGTAGTCTTAAACTTGAACTTGTTCATTTGAGGAAGCAACTCATTCTCAAACTGAAGAGGACAATCCACCCTTTTCTGGCAGAGAACCACATGGCTGAACTGTCCCAGTGCAAGTTGCAGATTATTGCTTGGTGCAGTCAAATTGATGGCATCATCCTAAAAACCTCCCACTACTTGGCTTACAGAAGACAGAAGCTACTGACTATTAAAAATAAAAATAAAAACCCAACCAGCTATATATGTCTATATCTCAGATGTCACAGCCTGGTGAACAAAACAAAGACATTTTTGCGAGCCATGTTGGAGGGACCTCTCTAACCATTTTTTCTCCCTTACCTGTCGAGACACCCTCTCTCATTTGCAAAGCGCTGGAAGGCACCCATTGGGTCAGAACCTGTGCTGAGGATGAAGATCAATGGGGTGGTAGGGGACATGTCATTATAGAGATTAGCCAGGTCAACAGGAGGGTTTTCCACAAACTCCTTCCCCAGGTTGACAATCACAAACTCAGTTGCTGCAAAAACCACCTGGATGGAAAAAGAGGATATAAGTCACAGAAAAGCTGGGAAAAATTGACCAAGCTTTGGTGGTGATGGGAAAGCTCCGCGGAGAGCTATAAACCCATGTCATTTATTTTTTTTACTGAGATCCTTTCTTTAATACTGACAAAAGTTACACTTTTTTAAAATGATCCTCTTCACCTGGAAAACAATAAAAAAAAACCTCAGTAAATATCTTTGCCTGGACTTCATCCAGGCTCACCTTCTCTTCCATGAAGCTCTTGATAAGAACTAGTTTCTGGAAAGATCCCAATCGCTCATTCCAGTATCCTTTCATCTCCCGTTTCTCCTTTATGGACTCCTCGAGAGAAGGCAACTCTGACACATAGCCTTTCCATTTTTCTGGATTTAAAGATGCTTCAAAATGCCCTATAAGAGAAAAGGAATTCTATGGAATCAGACATAGGATTTGTACATAGTTTGGTAAGTAAATGATAAGAATGATTACAACATCTCTTTATAAAAATGAAAAATGACAGAGTGTATGTAGGTCAAACATTCTAGTTTTATATTTAAAAGTAACATGCTGACATATACAGATCCTTATCAGCTCAACAACAATAACAATGGGGATAGGGTACCTAGCTTAATATGGATATGGGTTCTAGTGATTTCTCTGGAGATGCCCTTGAAGCAAGGCAGTGTGTCCTCCAGCTCACAACATGTCTGCCAGTAAAAATCACTTAGCCATGGCACATCTGGTCGCTCTGGATACTCCTGGAAGATGCAGAAAAAGAAAAGTTTATGCCCACAAATTTAGTAGACATATTGTTATCGACTGGTGTAAGTAAAGAGAAAGATAACTAGAATTATAAAAGAGTGAGGGGATGATGACAAATGGTTTCTATGACAAGCAGCTTGTCACTTTAATCTGAAATACTTGGGATCACTAAAAAAGTTCTTGTTTGAATCACCAACTACGATTACACCTGCAGGCACTCCACTAGTCAGATGTATTCAGTGTTTACTCGGATTAACAGCTTTCAGATATTTGGGTGATGAGTCTGAAAATCTGCCTCTATACACCTGTGTAAATATTTCATTAAAATCCCTTATACTTAATGATTCGATTAATCATTACTCCTTTTTAGCGTATTCAATCAAACTACTATTATTTTATTTTGGTTTTTAAAAAGCTTGCTTTTTGTCAGAAACATACATTTCCCTGTTACTCCAAACCTTTGAGCAGTAAATGCTAAGAGGCAATAAACGGGAGACCTAAAACAGAGGTGTAGGAGAAAGAAGAACAGAACTAGCATGAGGACTGTGACTGCTAACAATCAGTGC